AAAAAAAACTAACTCTTGATGATGCATTCAATCAAAAGTTTTGGGTATAAAACCAGACAGGAGAAAAACTATGGGGTGGGCTCCCTCGAAACAAAAGCGGCCTCGATTTGCTTCTCTCTTAATAAATATACAGGTGGGCTGGTCGGCAGAAAATGGTGAAAAAATGTGCTTTGGATGATTATGCTCATAAAGTATCTTCAGTTAATGATTTGCAGCATACATCTATTAGCTAATTAAGATATTAGCATCTATAAGATAGAATGGTTACAACAGTGAAATCGTCAAACTCCTCCAGCAATCCATGCATGAATTAGACAAAGTGTCTTAATTGGGAAATTGAAGGGGCCACTAAACAAACATTAATCTACAAGAATCACTGAAATAGGATAGTGCCATAAGCTAATCCACAAATCTATACGTCAGTGCATATTCAACAGCCACCAAAAGCGTCGTAATACTGTAACCTATCAACATATCAATTACAAATGAAGAACTACTTGAACAAAAAGATATGTCCAACTCCATTATATTAAATTCATGCCACGTAATGCATATAAAAAAAAAATGTAGTAGATGACATAAATTGAACGCAGAGGTGCTTGATGCCTGCTTGTTGACTTCAACATCAATAGCGCGCTTGGTGACGTTACAGACGCGGCCGGTTCGGCCATGGTAGAACTTGTGAGGCATACCCTTATGGATCGACCCGTTTACCTTTAAAAAATATAAAAAATAAATTTCAAGCTAGTGTCTCAAGAGTTGATGTACATGTTACAGATGCATATTATGGTTGATATAAGTTTATCCAATTATAGAGACAAAATCATTTTTTATTTTCTATTTTCTTTGTTTATACTATTTACTATGTAACCCATGCTATGACTGTATTTACTTTGGAGAATATTAAAAATTAAAATGTATTCATAAATAAAAGAGTGATAATTCTTAAGAAAATATCAAACCATAAAATGTTCCTCATGCAAAAAAATATATTATTTAAACATTCTTTTACATAATATTATCTGTTCAATAACTGAGCAACTCGTCGTCCCTACAAACTAATATTTTCAACACTTTTCTATTTTACAAGCGAAACAAACAACATAATTATACATGACTAAAAAACGATTTCTTTAAGAACATGTCAACGTACAATAAATGTTGACATTGACTCTTCTTGATCTATTACTTAACATGTCAACGTACAATAAATATTGATATTGACTCTTCTTGACCTATTACTTACACGCGTAACCACATACAAATGGTCATGATCAAAAAAAGATTTTTTTAAGAACATACCAATGCACATCTCTTATCTATTACTTACACGTAAAAACAACAACATATAATCGGTCGTTGTTAAGAATCGATTTCTTTAATAACATGTCAACGCACATAAAGAATGACCTTGGTCTTAAATGGAACCCTACGATTAAAAGTAACTGGTGCTCTATAACTTAAATGAAATCCTAAGATGGATCTTTTTATAATATGATAATTTACTTAGGCAGTCAGGCAATGAGCTGTTAGTTTAATATCGATTAAACTTGATTAGCTATATAATAACTACTAATATTTTTATATTTTTTATACAAAAAGACTGACCATGACTGTTAAATGGAACCCCAAAATCAAGGAATTAGTGCCGCTGGAACTTAAATGGAAGTCTAAGATGGATCTATTTACAATATGATAATTTATACAACAGTTGGACAAATAAATTGGTGCATATCTATAAAATTATGTATGAATAATACAAAACATTAAATATTACATCACACTAATTTTATGAGAGAGATTATATATAGTAGATATAAAATATAAAATATTAGTGATTAGACATTATTTCAGACTAATTTTTTCAAACCGAACAATTTTTTATTGAATGTGTGACAATTTGTTATATATTTTCAAACCGAACATTTTTTTATTGGACAACTTTCCTATTATATGTGTGACAACTTTTTAGGTAGTAAATTTATATATATATATATATATATATATACATATATTACAATAAATTTATATTTTGTGTATACAAAAACAAAAAATCAATTTACTATACAAAATTTTGAAAATTTTTCTTTTAAAAACAATTGACAAAAAGAATATGTTGACCTAAAAATTCACTCAGGCGTTGGATGGACGACACGTGGACGACGAGAAAATAAAGGGGCCAAGCCGAGGATCGCAGAGGAAATATTAGCCGACCTGTGGAAGCCGACCTTGTCTGGAAGCCGACCTCTTGAATGAAGCGACCTCGGGCGCAGGCCGACGTCGGAGCCGACAGGCCGCATTTAATGCTTGTCCATCGACTGTTCAAGGCCCATGTGGAGACATCATTGCGTGAAGGGGGCCCACTGACAGA